TTTCCTGTTTCAGCTGTCTCCTCACTCCCTACTTCTGTTGGGCCCCTTCACCCTTCCACAAGAAATGCAGCCCAACCAAGCACATGGTGATTGTCCACAAAGAGAAGACCCTTCGAACAGGGCATAACAAAGAGCATTTCTTTGGGAAAACATTTTTATCACACAGGTCTTTCCCCCAAGTCATTCCTCCTGACCCCCCGTGGACATCACCTCCCTGGCTCCTGCCTCACCCCATCACCCTTACCCCACCCGTGTGATCTGCACCCCCAATCTAAGTCTCTGAACCCCTTCTCATACAAGGTCATTCTGTTCAGTCCCAGCTGCTCCGTGTCCACAGTGATTGTTCAGGAGAATCTTCTAGAGAATCATCCTTCCCAGAAGGCAGTATGTATATGGAAGGAGGGGTGCTTAGAAACATAAAGCAATTTTAAGTTGTCTATCCAGTTGAGAAAATTGAGTCTGCGGGAGGTTAAATATTTCTCATTGTGGTATTGAACAATGCAGTTTGCATTTAGTTATTCATGAAATCATTGGGCCTGTCTGAATGACGGAGTCTTTTTTGGAGAGAGTTGGGGATTTTAATATCGTGAATATATTTGTGTTTAGTGCCTGGTACGTGATGCTTTGTTGTGTTGTATTTTGTGAGAGATAGAGAGAGAGAATCTCCTTCTCACCTTCAGACCACACATGATCAGAGGCAACAAAAGATAATCATGAGAATGAAAAGCCTAATCTAATGATTCCTTTTTAGTTCTTTTCCAGAAAAAATTTTAAAATCCTGTTTTCTTTGTGGAGAAGTGAAGTTGATGGAGTGCAGGCAATGCTTACGCCCTCTAATCTGGTGAAGGAGGAAAACAGTACAGGAAAGGAAAAGGCACTGATGTTGGTAGGCATGGGCAGGGCCCACCTAAATTGTCACTTAGATGTTGGTGGTCCACGTGGCCTTGAGAGGACCATTTGCAAATTGCAAAAATAAGATAAAATAAACTTCTGAGGGGGATCATGCCTAAGCTGGCAGTCAGATATCCCTCATCTGGGAGCCCTCAGGAGATATCCGACTAAGGGCTTAGCTGTTAGTTGGACATCCTTAGCGCTTCCATGGAGGTGGGAGAGGCTCCCACCACCGCTGCGCTGGCCAGCCATAAGCCAGCTGCTGAGCGGCGCTCCCCCTGTGGAAGTGCACTGACCACCAGGGATAGCTCCTGCATTGAGTGTCTCTCCCCGGGGGTCAGTGTGCATCATAGTGACCAGTCCTTCTTGGCCATTCCACTGTTAGGGCCAATTTGCATATTACCCTTTTATTATATAGGATTAATTGATAGACATGAATTTTTCAGTTTCTTCCTTACTTGGCTGAGATGGTATCTAGCACCCTCTAGTGATAGAAAAATTCTTTAGTAGAAGGAATGTTCCTAGTTATTTTGCTATTTCCTCAGGCCTGGGTAGACAATTATCTTTACTTAAGGCTGAAATTGTAATAGTTAACTTGGTAACAGGACTTCTTATGCTGATCATAAGCTCTGGTGATATATCAATTAGGACTCGATTAGTTGTAAGAATCGGGGTTAAGCAAAAATTGAGACTGTACGGTGTTGGGTAACTGTGGGAGTCCCCGGTTTGATTTCAAGATGACAGCAGGGCTCAGGTGGCACTGTCAGGCTCTGCCTCTCAGCACAGTTTCTCCTCAGCCTGGGCTGACTCTGTCCTCAGCGCTGGCGGGCCCACAAGCTTTCTTTACAACCGCAACAGTCCCACACTGGACATGGTCCCACTTCAGATCCAGTGGAGAAAGGATCAGGCCCTCCTGTTCCCAGCAAAAGTCACGTTTACTCCCATTGAAGGTGATGAGCTAGTTGCCTTAACCAAATGGAGTTTTCTGTCCTCCTCGTGGTCCTCCCACCTTCATACACACAAAAGCCCTGGGTTGGTGTCAATGCTCCTGTGGTGGTGGCTGATCTGACTAGGCCACAGGACCCAAATACTCGGTACTGCTTTGGATGTTTCTGTGAAGGTATATATGTTCTTTTGGGATGGGATTAATAATTAAATAAGAGCTCCCCTGAGAGAGAGGGAATTCAGCCAGCAGACTGACTTTGGACTCAAACTGCAACTCTTTCCTGAGTCTCCAGCCTGCCAGCCTACCTTGCAGTTTGGGACTTGCCAGGTTCCACACTCACATAAACCAGTTTTTTAAAATCCATCTGTCGATCTAAACATAATAGATACTTCTATATCTCTATCTCTATCTCTATCCTAATGGCCCTGCTTTTCTAAAACTGACTTCTACAAAGAGTTAAAAAGAGGGAAGAGGGTCAATTTTCCCAAAGGCAACTTGGAAGTGCTATTACCAGGAAGAAGGGGAAAAGATGTAGGAAAAACCGTCATAGATGCTCATTACAGTTGGGAATGAACAAAGTCAACTTATTGTGGTAGCAATTTGATTGACAAAAATGTTTTGAACATTAGGTCCATGGAGAGAAGGAACACACTTGGTGGTGAAAAGGTATTGAAGGTTTTCTTCCCTCAGCTTTTTACATATTTAGATACTTGTTTAAATGTTATTCAGAATGACGTGTTCAATGGCCAGGGTATCTTTAGAAGAGAAGCGGGCTTTAACTTATGTGGCATGTTTTGAGTACAATCAGGATGGTTGGGTCCAAAATATCTCCCACATCTGGTAGAATGCCTGAAATTCTACGATTGAAAAATGATTTGCTTATTTGCTCTTGAAGGATTGCAGGTCTTAGGAATGTATAATTAAAGTAAAAATGACCTTTGCCCTGGCTAGGTGGCTCCGTTGGTTGGAATGTCATCCTGTACACTAAAACAAAAAAAAAAAAAAAGGTTGTGGGTTTGATTCCCAGCCAGGGCACATACCTAGGTTGTGAGTGTGATCCTTGGTACATACATTGATATTTCTCTCTCTCTTCCTCTCTGAAATAAAAAATACAAAAATAAATGAATAATAAATAAATAAATAAATAAAAAGTAAAAATGACCTTTAAAGATGTCCAAACTGTTTTCCCCAGAACACCAGCATCCACGAAGTGATCATTCAATAGGTCCTCTTCAAAGGACTCCACAAAGACGACAAGGAAGTTTGGGGGTAAATTCATGTCATAGCCCCCTCTTAGATAGTCAAGATGCATATTAGCATATTAAGAGCTCTGAGAATTTTTGGATTAAGAGGCCCCTTTAAATTAAATTAACCCCAAATTTTCTAAAATCATTTGACCATGAAACATCCCCCCCCCCAGAGCACTTGTTGAACTTGGGGGAATTAGGTGTGGAAAAGGGGGGTGGTTAGAAAGGTGAGGACCTCAGGAGCAAGAATATCAAAGTTTAATTCCCGGCTCTGCTGTTTACCAACTATCAAACTTTGCCAATGTTGCTTCACCTCTTTTGGCTACAATTCTTTATTTGTAAAGTAAGGTTACTAGTCACTCACCTCACTGGGCTAAAATGATAAATATTAAGTACGAAAGAACCATTTTTTAAAGTTGCCGGCTCATAATTCACTCAAAAGAGATGTTGATTTTGTCAACTGTCTTCTCTCTTTTCTCTCTTCCCTTCCTTCTTATAATTTTTTTTTATTTCAATGAACTTTTTATTTTATAAAAGCTTTAGATTTACAGGAAAGTTGCAGAGATAACACACCACCAGCCCTAGCCCCATTCCCTTCCTTTTATGTGTATTCTGTGCTGGGAATTGTAGGAACAGGACTGGCACAGCCATGGTCTTCCTCGCAGCTCTCACTAACCTCCCCGGAAGGCGAGGCGGAGACAAGCACACCAACACCTACAAGATTGGTCACAAGTGCAGCTCAAAACACAAGTCATGTCCTGGCTGGTGTGCCTCAGTGGGTAGAGCATCCGCCTGGGAACTGAAGGGTCCTGGGTTCCATTTCAGTCAAGGGCACATGCCTGGGTTGTGGGCTTGATTCCCCAGTAGGGGGCGTACAGGAGGCAACCAATCAATGGTTCTCTCTCATCATTGATGTTTCCATCTCTCTCTCTCTCTCCCTCTCCCTTCCTCTCTGAAATCAATAAAAACATTTTAAACAACCACAAAAAAACCCCACAAGTCATACAAACTTCCCCTCCTGCAAATTCTTGCAAACTACCTAAACAGACAGATCTACTTTTCCAAAATAACTGAGAGGTGTTAACCCGAGCACCAAAGAATTACCCCCCCCCCCCTCTTTTTTTTTTTTTTTTTAAAGAAAATCGACCAGGAAATGAGTAATAAAGGTGGGGAGGGGAAGTCATTGTAAACCTTAAATATAGCCAGAGCTCGGGGATTTGTCAGGAGTAGGCAGTAAGCTTTGTTCTCCTTTTGAGAAGTAAAAGCCAAAGAGTCCTCCGCCCCTTGCTGAATACCCCAGCACAACGCGTGAACCTTCTCGGTGGATCACGGTCGCTGCACACACCGTCAGGACCCCCGCGACCCCCCTCTCGCGGCTGAGCGAGGGCGGGTGTTCTCAGCCACCAGCAGAGGCTCCCGGCCCCGCGCAGGACTAGTGCGTTCCGAGCTCCCAGTCAGAGCTCAAGTCCTGCCCAGCCTTCCCCGTGAGAACTACTGAGGGGTTCCCATAGGACAGCAACTCGGGGTCCTCATCGGAGCGGGAGGAGGCAGGCGACTGCGGAAATGCCCCCCGAATGGGGAATGCCCATTTGTACAATAAACCTCACTCTCTCCACGCCCCGCTCTGGTCCCATCCCCCTCTCCCCCAGAGCAGGAGCTGAATCAATTTCGCTCTCCCCAGACAGGAGTTCCCCGCAGGGCTTCCTCCCCTCCCCTCCCCCTGGTCCGGGACGGGGGGTGGGGTGGGGTGTGCATTTCCTTTGGTCGCTTCAGGGACCATCGCGCACAGGTGCTCGGAGACACTCTGGAGAGAGAAGTAGGGAGCTGTGAGTCACCCCGCCCTAGTCCTGGGCCCGGGAGAGGCTGGGCGGGGCTGTCATTTCTCCCCGCGAGCGGTGCCCGGCGCTGCCGGGACTTGGAGTAGCTCTTCTACTTCGTCGGATCGCTCCCCAGCGATGCCCCGGATCGGGGTTCTCC